TTCCTTTCTGTTTGTGACTGTCATGATTATTTAGATTATTATTACTGTTTTCTTTTGCGTATGTATATATATATATGTTTGCATAGCTGAATTTGTTATGTTAAGATTTCAGATCTTCGAAAGAAAAAAAATATTATTTCTTTTAATGATAATCGTTTGTTGTATTGTTATTTTTATTCAGTGTTAAATTTTCAATGGTTGCCTATATAATACCATTAGTCCATGTTTTATATTATGAAGTGTTATATCTTGTAACCGCCTATTCGAGAGCACAGACTTATCGATCAGATCGATGATGCGTAAACACGTGCGAGCAGTCTAATGTTCTGATTGGCCCTACTTTCCGCCTAGCCCAGCCACATAAGTCCAGAACACAAGTCTCAACCTCTACGATATGAATCATTATATTTCAAACATACTCGGTTTATATTTCAACCAGACAGACCACAACGTACCATAAAATAAAAAAATAACATTTGTACAATATTTGACCAACAGGAATATGACACATGAAATAAATATTGACCAATAGGAAAATGATGCCATTTCAAGTCCAAAGGAGAGCATTAAACTTGACAGAATAATTTTTGGGATATTTTTCTGAATATCCCAACATAAAGTTCATCAATCTTCATATACTCACTCCTTGTTTAGTAATAATAATTATATGCCTGTTCACTGGTTACTAACTATAAGAGGTGATTCTAAAAGTTCTTGTGAGATGCCATGACTAATAGAGTTCAACCATGTCGGATATGGGATAGTTATTCATCAATGACATCGGCAAATGATCGTGCAATATCACAAATTAATTGAAGTTAGAAATACGAATCATTAAATACTGAATTGGTGGTTTCAAGTTTAGACACTTAGTGTGAGACCTGAAGGTCATAGGTTTGATCCTCGATGGGGTTTTGCGTACGCACTACTTAGCAGTCCTATAATAAAACAGAAGAGATGACTGGGTGTTCATGGTTTTTAATAACTATTAAAATGAAATCTGTCTATGACATACATTATGTTATTTTTTTAATCAAAAAAGTCCTTTCAGTTGTTTCGCTTTAATCTTTATATCACAATAATTAAGGTAGTGAATCTTTATCAACTGAGGTAGTTGGGACATGCATTACTTATGCGCAACCACTTACCTCAACGTTCTAGTTTTGCTAGTCTAGGAGTAGGTTAAATGAAAGATAGGTGTAATCAGACCAGGAAGTGATATCATTTTTTGAGGTAATTAACTGTTGGATTGCGTCATGAAGGTGAGTGCAGGCTACCTGGTCAGTGTGATTCTCTTAACCAATAGTTGGAGACGTTAGGTAACATGTCTTACAATCGTCTGAAATAACCCAGATGCATTCATTGTTTTTTCTTATCTTAGATCTTGAGCTTAAAGATTGTCTTATACATTTTATCCCGTGGATTCATCCTTTTCCTCACGGATTATATTGTCGATACCTTATCTTTTCTACTGTCACTGATACTGTTACTAGTTCCACCGCATTTTTCTTCCTAGTTTCTATTTAATTCTGCAGATACACTGTGGTAACTTTGAACGATGCACATATATGCCAGGTTCTTTGTTTATAACTTACCATACAAGACTTTTTAACTATAGATTATAATCTGACTAATCATTCATCAGGAGGCTATTGCTGAAAAATGAAAAGTGCCTTGGTAACTATGTATCATTTTGTTTTCTGTTCTAAAACTAATCTTGAAAGTGAAATTTATTTCATAGTTCCCATTTATATTTCATTTGTGAATGTGTAAAAATTGACTAACAAAGTCAATATACTGGACATATATATGAAAACATTTTATTGGATCAAATGAATTATTTATTGTCTTGTGGATAAATAATGGAAAATAAACTAGTTTTACTATAAATCTATATGATAGTCTGTTAACTATTATATTAAAGGCCTATGTAGTGTTCACTGGTCATCCGATTCTGGCACTGATATGCAAGCTCAACCTGTTACTTCAAATTGAAATATTGGCACAAATCCATCCAGAAATATAGATTCGTCTCCTTCCCCCCCCCCAAGATTCCCAACCAATAGCGCATATCTGTTACTTCAGTAATTCAAACCAAATATTGACAAATGCAGCATACATACAGAACTTATCATTCGTCCTTGAACTGATGTATCCTATTGGTCCAGTGTGTTTCTGTTTTAGTTTATCCATAATTCTGTTTGAACAGATTATTTTATTGTTAAACTAATCAATATAAAGCATTCGACCATTATTTTGTGGTAACCAAATCTTTGTTGTATTGTGAATAAGTAATTGTTTAATTTGTTTATCCTGGTTACTATTTTTTTAGCAGGGTTGTTTTCTACAATATGAGATTAGTGACTCCATGTCCAATCCTTCTCCTTTACTTGGGATTGGAATCGTTAGTAACCCGAGGATGCTGGTCAGCGGTCTGTATTCTTTCATGAGGGGGAAACAAGCGACAAACGAATAAGTAATATTTCACATGACAAGTATTATCTTCAGATATACTTGTGGTTCGGTAAAATATAAGTTATTAAATAGTGGAGAAGAGCGAATGTGTTCGTGTTATTCAATGCATCTCGTTTCATTATGAACGTATTATTTCACCGAATCATATCATTCACCTAACCATTTGATATGCTTCATTCATTAGATTAGATTGTTTTCTTAAATGTCTCTTTGATGTCACGTTTCAGTGTATGAAATTTTCTCAACGATCCATTGATTACGAATGGTCAGTAATGCTTTCTTGTATTTATTATTGTGCTGAAATGAAACGTGCATTTATGCCTCGAAGATTAAGACATTAAATGGTAACATGATGAATAAATTTGAGGTTTATCAACAGGCGGGATTTCTGTGCTAATATATAATAACCTGTTGTGGTATATGCTACTTATGTTGACAGATATAAGTAGTATGTAACACCGATCAGAAGTGAAATAACTGTTAAAAGAAGGTTGAGAATATTGAACCGAAGAAAACAAAAATGAACGGAGAATTGGAGTAATCATGAAGGATGCAAAGTACGGTTGATGGAAGATTCACAAATGAAGTATTAAATGTATGGTCTTCATATTTTGAGGATGAACTCTGTAACTTGGCATTAAACAATAAATTGGTCTTTCCCAACTGAGTCTTCGTTTACTACACAACTATTTCAAATATGATTGACTGTCTGCTCAGTTATTTTGCATTATTCACTCAGGCTTACATCTAATAAACTAGTTTCCTCAATATACAATTGAAATTCTTTATATCGTTTGGTGTGTGACGAAATCTCAGTACGGATACAGAAGGCTCGACTAGCTTTTGCCAACTTGTGTCATTTACGGCGTAGGCGAGATATCCGTCTACCAAACAAAGGAAGGGTTTACTGCGCAGCAGTTCGTTTCGTCTTACTTTATGGCTGTGAAACATGACCAGCAAGAGTAGAAGATATTCGTAGGCTACTAGTATTTGATCATAGGTGTCTTCGAAACATTGCTCGTATATGCTGGGACCATCGAGTAAGTAACGCAGTTGTTAGGAAACGAGTACTAGGTAAGTATGGCAAATCAAGTGATGAAACTTCATCAGGTGAGATGGCTGGGACACGTGTTACGTATGCTCAACGACCGACTGCCTCGACGTGCTATGTTTTACGGTGTTGGATTCGGGTGGAAGAAAGCTAGGGGCGGCCAGACTAAAACATGGCACAAGTCCATGAATTCACTGACAAGTGGACTAGGTAATGTTGGTAGGTGTAGACTACCTGGTTCGGATCTGCGAGACGATAGCAACCGATGGTTAGAGACCTTGAATGACATGGCTCAAAATCGTTTGCGATGGCGCAGGTGCATCCACTCTTTGTGTTCTCCCAAATTCTATTCTTCTGAATTCTTCATGTCTCTTTGCAAATTTATTTCGCTGTATTATACTCCTTGAATAACATCTTCAAACCCTAATCTTTCCGATTACTGATTATACTCTTACTACCTCTACCACTACGGGATTTCAATTGACAATTGTACCTCTGTGCTAATGTGGTATAGCAATTCGAACTGATGTATGTACGTACGAAGTTCTACTTTGTTGATGACTGACTGAAATCGTAGATAGAGAGATTAATTGTTTAAGTTAAAATAAATTTCCATCACGGATTGTAGTAATTGTTTGACCCTATATTTGACTCTAGTTAAATCGTATGATGAGTGTTATCGAAATATAAATGCTGTTAACCCACATATATTTTTTATCGACGTAATTCGCATTAGAGAACAATGGAATAAGTCAAGTACGAGAATTGATTCTGAATACGTATAATTCATACACTCATTGATCTAGACAGACAAACGAAGTGTTGCGCAGATAAGGCGAGTGAACCAACTTGCTTTGATCAAGCGTGACTAATATTTATATTCAGACAAAAATAAGTTACAGAAAAGTAATGAAGCAAGTGTTAACTTGGTATCAAAAGGGAAACGGAGAAGAGGAAGATCAAAATATATTTTGTCGTGAATCGGAAGCAGACATGACAAGGATTGCCCAGGACAGAGTTGAATAGTACAGGAAGAAAGATTTGTACGTAGAAAGAAAGATATGGAGCAATTTTAATCTCATAGTTTAAGGGGAGACAGAGTGTATACACCTACTCCATTGTTGATCGATTCTGAGCAATGTCATCTACAATCTCCAACCATTGGTTACGATAGTCATATAGACGTCAACCAAGTAGTCCGCATCCTACCTACATGGTTCAGACTGGAATTTAGTGATTTCAATGACTGATGCCACGTTTTGGTTTGACCACCCCTAACTTTCTTCTAACCATTTTCAACACTAGTCAGCACTGCACGTCGTGGTAATCGGTGTTCAGCTATACATAACACATTGCCCAACCACCTTAGTCGATGATGATTCACAATCTCATCAACTGATTTACCATCATTGTCGTAAGTAGTATGAACGGTAAATATAATTCGAATCCTAATTTTTCTATCATGACCATCATTGTCTCGAGAACAATATTAATATTCATTTTAGATAACACTTACAAAACTAAGAAAATAAGGTCACATCATATAAAATACATTTTAAAAGCTTTGACAATGTACAAGAACAAAAAAAACACATGTGAAAGTGTTCAATTACAAACACACACACATATTGTTTGTTTTTATATAAAAAAAAAGTGAACTTTTAAATAGGAAACTAATTAAAATTCCAAATGATATTGATTATCTAACATGGATACAAACAGACACTCACACTCACACCCCCCCTATTCATCTCATCTACATGTATTATTTTAAAATTAAGATTAGATAATTAATTTTTTAAGTCGGTTAAAAAAGTAAATAACATAATCATCAAAATATACATTTGTAATCCATTATAATTAAGAATGATTGAGATGATGATAATTAAAATGTAATTTGATTTGTTTAAAATCTGATTATCTATATGAATTATTTACCTGTACAATATTGAAAATAATAATATGTAAATGATAATGTATTTCATATTTTAAATGGATCATCCAAAAAAAGATATAAATATATATATAAACAATAGAATGGAGATAGGAAGTATTATCCGCTGTGATTCATATTATTTTTTTTGATCTCGATTCGTTGAAGAGAACATCCATGCATTTGGATTAAGCAACATTCCTCCAATTAATGGTTGACGTATTTGAGTTGGATTAAATGATGAAAGTGTAGGCGGTTGAGATAAAGTTGAAGGTTGTTGTGGTGGTGGTGGAGGTGGAGGAGGAGGTGGGGGAACTGTACTCATCAATGCCCAAAAATCATTAGATGGAGGACGTTGTAATGATGTTGTTTGATTGACTAAAGATTGTGACCAATTCTGTCCACGAAATAGTGTAGTTGGTAATTGTAAATTATTCTGTGCTGGAACTGTTGCAGTTGAACGTGTTTGCTGAGGTGATATCATAAAAGGTCCAGGTACTAATGGTCTAGGAGTAATAGGCATTCTTGTCATTGGATCATAAAACATCATATTTGAATGACTTAGTCCAGCAGCTACCTATAGATAATAAATCGATTGAATAAAAAAATGAATTATCAAAAATTGATAATAACAAGAGGTTAAGGTGCTGATATTGCAACAAACTTGAGTATTATTCCGACTCTAAGCGGACGATATAACCATTTTACAAATAAAACCTTAGAATTGAACCATGTCGCAGGTGATTGTATTCTTTTAAATTGCAGGAGATAATTTTAATCGATGGTTGGATTATTATTATTTTAACACATAGATATTGGTACAAGGAGGCACCAAATACATATGCGCTAAACAAATCTCATTCGATATGTGTGAGGGCTGTGATACTGCCCGGGTGCCCAAACCGAAGCAGGTGGTTTTCTTAGGGGGACCACTCTCAGGGCCTTCGACCTCAAGGTTTGATCCACAAGGCAGTGGAACATCTTAAGGAGATGCAGTCCCATGGAAGCCGATGACCAACGATTGGTTCATACGCCATTTGTTCCCGCAGGATACTGGAACCCATGTGCACCATTGGTTTGGAATTCGGTTAAAGCACCGGACATTCGCTTTTTGTCCTATCAATTTCGTAAACAACAGTAGTGCCACGAGAATGCAGTGAGTAGGACTTCCCTGGTAGATGCAGAGCGGACTCTCCCCACTCTCGACCGTACCAGGGCATTTGGAAATGTTGCATAACACTGCCTGAAATTAATTGCAGTGTTATAATGGTTATCTTCATTCTTTGTATCTCTATATAGTCTTAGATATCATCCCATACTCTACATTACTCGAACTTGTCTGTTTCTATAAATAATATTTCATCGTAATAGATATTATTTCCTCTTTTTACGCTGGTGTGAAATACGAGCACTTAAGCTCATGCACAATGATGCTTATTTAGTTTTATGTTTTTCTCTAATTGAATGATGATATAAAAGTTATGATAATTGCGATTAATCGTCAGTCAGTCATTGTGACCAACTTGATCTCGTGTGTTGTTACAGGCATGAGTGCTGATGTCACTTCGTAGCGTTATCTTTACCGTACTAAACGAATAGAAATTTTATTGTTCAATTATATATATAGAAACATATTACACACAAAATTCTTCAGTATACCTGTGAATTCGTTATAGACAAGTTAGGATTATTATTCGCTGTTAGTACAGTTGGTTGGATCATTGATAATTGTGTTGAAGGTATATTCATTGAATTGACAACAGGAATTGAAGTAGTATTATTCATAGAATTTGAAAGATTACAAAATGGTAATCTATATCCAGATGTTAATGATGGAATAGGAGAAGGAGTAATTGAAGTCTGTGAAACGATACTATGAGGAATATTTGACAGAAAAGATTTTGGATCCGTTCCATGACATGAATTGGGAATTAAAAAATCCGCTAAACTTGCTAGAAAATTACAAATAATTGAAGGAAAATGAGCAACATAAAAACAGTTTTGTGTGACTATGACTAAAGAACCACATAATTAGATTATACACTATAGATAGTCCGAGTGATTATTGTAAACAATGGTTAGAGACTTTGAATGACAACTCAAAATTGTTTGCAATGGTTCAGATGCATCTAACCTGTCTCGTCTCCAGATTCTGAGATACTCAATTTTCCATAACTTTTTCTGTGTTTTATTTCACTAATTCACATTTTATTCTCGATGCCTAATCTTTTCCATTACCACTATAACTACCTCTACTATTCTAAGATTTGGCCCGACAATTTCATCTCTCTCTGCTAATGGGGTATGACAATTTGAACCGATGTAAATATTTACCAGGTTTTACAATGTGACTGACTGATAAACAAGAAAAAAAACCCAAGAATTCAAATCAGCAAATTATGTTTTATTGTCCTATAGACAGAAATCACAGTTTCAAGGATATTTTATGACCAAATAGCGTTTAGTGTGGGCCCAAATGAAAAAAGAAGAAACCATTCTAATTATCACTATACAATAACTGACCTTGCCTGTTACACTACAACAATACCGTTATCACAAGACACAAAATCGTCGATTATTTCCAAACGCACACGGTAGTGATAAGTTTAAGTAAATATATTCACCAAACTTCTAAGAGTATTTTATACACATATCATGCGTAATTCACCTGCCAACTACGAGCTTGTATACTTGGGATTGAGATATATTTTAGTTATGTTACTTGTGTGGCCTCCATCGGTTTATGTGTAGGGAAGTTTGAACCCGGAAATGTTAAATGTTTTAATCACTTCGACAGTGCGAACTAGATTTTTTAGGCAAATGAAGATCGTTTGTAACTTTTAGATATATTATTATTTATTTATTTTAGAAGGGGTTTTGTGCATATTTTAGTAATTTTAGTAGTTAAAATGATGAGTCAATTGAAGTTAGACCACCCTGGAAAACCTGAAAGCACTGAACGGCCGTTTCGTCCTACTGCTGGACTCCTCAGCATTGCGCATCCAACAGTAGGACGAAACAGCCATCCAGTACTGCCAGGTTTTCAATGGTGATCTGCCTTCAATTGACTCATGATCTCAATTATTAAAATTTATTTATCTAATTAATTGACTGTGTTCATATAGTTTTCTTAAATTGCTTATTTTAATTTCATATACCTAGCACCATTATTCATTCTTACCATACATCTGTTTAGAATTCGTGAACAATTTTATTTTACAATCATAAATTTTAAATGGTGTATTTTGCTGATCACTTTTAGGTTTATTAATTTGGTATGGCAACTCCAACTGGTGTACGTACGTTCGAAGTTCCACGTTGTTACCTACTGAAAAACCTGAAGAGAATTGATTGAAATGTATATTCTCAATTGATGTATTAAGGTTTGTACGATTATCGTAACAAGCAGTTGGAGATATTGAAAGACACAGTCAGTCATCAACAAAGTAGAACTTCGTACGTACATACATCAATTCAAATTGCCATACCACATTAGCACAGAGATGCAGTTGTCGACTCAAATTCCGTAGTGGTAGAGATAGTAAAAGTATAATCAGTAATCAGAAAGATTAGGGTTTGAAGATGTTATTCAAAGAGTATAAAACAGCGAAATAAATTTGCAAAGAGAAAAAACAAAGAGACATGAAGAATTCAGAAGATTAGAATTTGCGAGAACACAAAGAGTGGATGCACCTACGCCATCGCAAACGATTTTGTCATTCAAGGTCTCTAACCATCGGTTGCTATCATCTCGCGGTCCCCAACCAGGTAGTCTACACCTACCAACATGGCTCAGTCCACTTGTCAGTGAATTCATGGACTTGTGCCATGTTTTGGTCTGGCCACCCCTAGCTTTCTTCCAGCCGAATCCAACACCGTAAAACATAGCACGTCGAGGCAGTCGTTCGTTGAGCATACGTAACACATGTCCCAGCCATCTCAACTGATGACGTTTCACCACTTCATCACTTGATTTGCCATACTTACCTGGTACTCGTTTCCTAACAACTGCGTTACTTACTCGATGGTCCCAGGATATACGAATAATGTTTCGAAGACACCTATGATCAAATACTAGTAGGCTACGAATATCTTCTACTCTTACTGGTCATGTTTCACAGCCATAAAGTAGGACGGAACGAACTATTGCGCAGTAAACCCGTCCTTTGTTTGGTAGATGGATATCTGGCCTACGCCATAAATGACACAAGTTGGCAAAAGCTAGTCGAGCCTTCTGTATCCGTGCTGAGATTTCGTTACACATCAGACCACGAAAGTTGATGACACTTCCAAGATAAGTGAAGCAGTCGACACAGACGAGAACTGATCGTAATAGAAAAGATGTATTAAAATACTGTCTCAAAATATTCACACTTTTAATTCAATAAAATCAAAATTTATCGAATTATAATGTCTATGTTTCATGTTTTCTACTACCAATGAGATCGTTACTACTTCTACTATTCTGAAATTTATCTTGATAATTTCTGTCTTGTCGTATTGATAATAGTATAAGAGCTTTTTGGGAATAAAACAATATGCTACATTCTACGTTGCTTATGATGGATTAACAGTGTACACTTAAAGATTAAGGATATTACTTTGATATTAGAAGTAGTGTAGTAACAAAAACCAGAAAGAGAACTACTTACATGCTGGTGTACCGAACGGATGAAATGATATCAGAGATTGATCTTTATCATTATTACCCGATAATAATAAATCATCTTGCCTTTCATCTAAAGTAGGTGTATCGCCACCGCCTGGAGAACTATCACTATCATTACTACTATTCATAGTGTTAATTTTATCAAAATCAGAGAATTTCGATTGTTCTTCATTGTCACTATTTATTGAAGTTTTTGAAACAGATGATGATGATGAGATAGTCGTTGTGGTCGTAGGAGTAGTACAAGATAAAATAGTCACATTAGTAGTGGATAATGTATTGGTGGTTGATGATGGAACAGTTGTTTTACTGTTATCTTCAATATTAATAGCATCTGAAAATCTGGATCGTTTGACACATGGAATATATGAATTATTAGAAACGTTCACTGTTGTTGTTGTTATTATTGCATTGGTCGTTATTGCTCCTTGAACGCAATCTATTGATTTAAAATCATTGGTAGATGACAATAACAATGGATCATTCATTAGGTGGTTAGTTTTCCAACATAAATCAGTGGCAGCAGTGGTTGTTGTTGTTGTGATAGTAGTACTAGTAGAAATAGTTGTATCATGAAAAGATTCTAGAACAGGGTTACTGGATGGAATAGGAGAAGTAACTGACAGTGTAGTAGGATTCGATTGTGCTGGGATGCTACAACAACACATGAGGACATGTAAACAGGCGAGAAAAAGAAAAGTTTAATAAGTAATAAAAAAATACTGAATTTCAAATCAATAGGCGCGTTAGATAAAATGAGATTTATTATCCTAATTAAATTAATATATGAGTGAAAAAAGAAATGAGTATGACTAAGAATCGTTCACAATGGTGTTGATATATTCACTCTTTATTTTCCTCTCGATCTTGGATTCTAGTAATTCTCCATAGATACATTCCTATTTGGTTTTTTGAAACTTTATTCTCGGTACTTGGTTCTTTTTTTATTGTTGTTGCTACTAAGTTACTTTAGTCTCTTTTATTGTCAGTCAGTCAGCTACAACGTAGGACCAGGCAAATATATGCATCGGTCCAGGTTGCCATACCTCATTAGCACAGCAAGATGAACACCGGATTCATATGAGTGGTTAAGTTAAAGGTGGTAATATATAGGAGAAAGATTGCATATAAGGATACAGTACTGGAATATAGAATTAGTTGGTAGAAAGAAAGATATGAAGTGATTTTAATCTCTTAGTTTAAGGGAAGACAGGGAGTGTAAGCACCAACGCCATTGTGATCGATTCTGAGCCATGTCACCAAGAGTCTCCAACCATCTCATCGTGCTAATGGAGTATGGTGACTTGGACCAATGCATATCTGTAACAGGCTTGACGTCAATGATAACTGACAGCAGACAGACAATATAAGTATAAAGCATGGGACAGATGCATGCTGACCCAAGTTGCTATACTTAATTAGTACAACCAGATGGAAATAACGAAAGAAATTTAAATAATATAGTAGGAGTGATAAAGGAATGAATAAACTCTGGGGAACATGGTTTGAAAAAGAAGAGTGGTAAGATATGTATGAAGGAATACTGAGAATTAAAATCGAGAGGATAGAAGAAAGTGAATTCACATTTAACCCATTGCGAACGATTCTGAATCATACTACTCAAAGTATCCAACCGCTGGAATGAGGTTATCACACGGAACCTAACAAAGTAATCCTCATCTATTAACTGTCATATTGTGGAAAAAATATATTGCTAATGATCATAAAGAAGAAAGAGATATGTAGAGGGGCATAAACGAAATGAATGAAATCTGTACAATCAATTTGAACCTGTATCTCATCTAATATATTTGAATAACATTGAACACTTTTCAATAAATACAAAATTGTATCCTATTTGTAAATGAATAAGAATCTAATGTATACACTTGCTGTTAATATTCATTGAATGGTTTGTTTTTAAATCCTGCTTATACCTATAAATGTGACAAAATGATTAAAAATCAATCAATTTTGAAATTTGCGCATTAAGATAATTGTTCTCATGATACTGATTAGTTTATTATTTTATACAGTTAATTAATTCACCGGTTAGCATGAGGGATTGCATCTCCTGACGTTGTTCCACTGTCTTGTGAATCAGACTTTTAGGTCAAAGGCTTCGAGCGTGACCCTCTAAGAAAACTACCCGTTTCGATCTGGGCATCCGGGCAGTAACACAACCCACACACAAATCGAGTGACTTATATGACGCATATTTATTCGGTGCCCCTTTATATCAATATTTATGTGTTCAAACAGATAAATAAAATAAACAAAACCAGGTACTTGGATATAACCTTCAGGTTAAGTGTAAAAGTTAGTAATACTACTTGATTACTACTCAAGGAGAAATAGACAAAGTAGAATTTAAACTTTGAACTTAGTGATCAAAAATTAAACATCTAGTCATTAAGCTATTAACTCCGCCTAGAGTCCCTCCGGGGGCTACTGCCAGTCCCAAGCCCGGATAAAGGAGGAGGGTTGGGCATGGGGGTTAGCGACCCTATCCCGTAGAAAACTAACTCGCTAAAAAACGTTAACCAGAAAAATTATTCATTAAACTATTACTGTATTGACTATACTTTTACTGTCACAAAAAGATTTTAATACAATAATTAATTCAATTTACAAATGACTATTAATTTACTTTTTCATTAAATTTGATAGTCCAGTTAAACGAGAAATAACAGCAAATGGATCTTCTATCATTTTCTTATTTACATTTTGATGAATATTCGTCTCACAAGATGATGATGATGAAGTTGAAATGGGTAGATTTTTAATAGAATTTAATGAATTCATTATTATATCTTGTTGAATATTATTAGGTGATAATAATGGAATATTACTATTAGACAATGAAGAAGTAATATCATTCTCAATAGATAATGATGATGTGGATATTGACAGTGGTATAGATGAAAAAGGAGAAATAAATGAAGAAATTGATGTTGTCATAACATTAGAAGAAAAATTGAATGATGACGATGATGATGATGACAATGACGATGAGGAGGAAGATGATTTTGACGATTGTAAAGATGATGATTGACATAGATTTTTTAATATATCAATAGCGGATAATTTTTCCGACTGGATAATTTCACAAGAATTGATAGATGACTGTTCAGAAGATTTTGTCAATTCACTACTACCGCTGCTACTAGCACTACTAGTAATAGTCGTATTGATCTGTTTCAAATTCAATAACATTGGTGGTGGTGGTGGTGCTGGAGATTGTGGAATGAATGAGTCGGATTTGGTCACAGGTAGGGTATGATGCTGATGATAAGCTAATTCATTTAATGTTGAAGGAAGAGGAGGTGGTGGACTGAAAGAATGTTGATTATCTAATCCCCCAACAACAAATGGTGGAGGCGCCGGAGGAGGAGGTATACGTACAGACGTAGGCGGTCGTGGTGGAGTTGGTTGCATGAAAGATTCAGATGGCACAGTCGAGCCTACTACTGGATTTTTGGGCGAAATGGTAGGAGTTGTAGGATTATTATCAGATGTTGTTCCAGTTAGCTATGAAAAAAAGTCAGAAAGACAGTAAGGGAACAGTATCTTGTTCATTCTGAATCGAAGTCGTTATGAACAGACAAATTAGTAGTGTCATGGACATACAATGCTGAGGAGTTGCATACTAGGACGAAACAACTGTCCAGTTTTCTTGGATTTTTAGTGGCTGTCGAACTAAAGTCACCCCGTGGTGTAAACCACAAAATTAACATACCTATAAATGTTTACAAACGATCTCATTGAATATGATAAGAAGCAACCACATTAATTCTTTCTGAAATCGTTGGAAAACTAATCCGTTACTTAATTTATTTTTAATTGCCAAGCTTCATGACTTAATCTAAACTAATTCAATATATTACGTTACTATAAACCAACTTGATTAACACAATTTATGAAATTTGGGAATAATTTACGATGATTACAGTTTCCAAAAAATCTTATAGAATCATGCAACTTTTAAGTGTAACTACGGTATAGTTAGCTTATTATTATTAGTAGTAGTAGTATTGTCACTATTAACCTCAGTTTGAATTTGAAAGAAAGTATACACGGACAAATACCATCAGTAGTCGACGACGCGTCACACATCCAATGATTTACAAAACAATATATTATGTTATACTATTGTTCCTAACTCATCTGTGATGGACACAACGTATAAACAATTAAACAAATCTCAATCAAACCCTTTCAATTAGACAATAACTTTGATAATCAGGAAAAACAAACATACAACTTACGCAGTTTATTGGCTTCATTACATTACATTGCACTTCAGTAAATATACGCCAATCTTTATCTTGTTGTGAGCATACATCAGACTGATCATTTTGATTTACTTTTTTATCCAGTATGGTTTGATTTGTTATATCAGAAGGTTCTTCGCCATCTGATACTTCCATATTATCTTCTTCATCATCAACAGCGGTATGACTTGTTTTATTTGTCGTCTTATCATGACCATGTTGTTGTTGATGATGATAATCACTGACAGTATCTTTATTATTCTGGGTATTTGAACTGGTACAAGTTGAATAGACAGTTTTATGTAAACTTTTAAATTTATGCGAATAACTGTTGGCATTAACAACAACGGAAGTGTCATGAGGATTCATTTTAGGCATATTGGATAAAGAATTAATAGGGTTAACTTCTGAAGGATTGGTAACTATTGGATCTTGTAATTTTGAAGTTGGGATCATTTCCGGTCTATGTGGGTAAAATTGAATTATAAAAAATATGTTACGTAAAATAGCAACCATTATAAAGATTAGAAGTTAATATTCCTCACAATCCAATTACCTGCTTTATCCTACATTACGGTTTTTTTAGATATAACATACAGATAACTTTTCAGGGATTTATCTAACACAGAGATTTTTTAGCGATTTAGAAAACGCAGTCCTTTGATAGCTTTGAGCAACAATACAAGCGTGGTTGTGATTCATTTCTTTCTTTCTAAGAGGAAGATGTTGCTTCAGAACTGGTCTTAGTTAACGTCTAAACCAACGATAAGAGGTAGTTGAATACATGGACGTCTCATCAACTGTGGTGAGTTGGTATCTGGCAAAATTTATTACGGGTTGATAAAGTTCGTTTGGCTCTTATCAACTTGAGTCATTTGTGGTATCTCTCTACAAATGAGGCTCTGAGTAAGCTTGATAACTTTAGACTGTTGAGATAGAATCCATTGTAATGAAAATTAGGAACTTGATTTATAATGTTACACCACCAGACAATTGGTGATAGCTGTTTTAATTCATCTATACGACTAGCCTCGAACGTCCTGTCACGGGAGGAAGTAATAAGTTCGCTCTCTCTCTCTCGCAGTGCTCACATATGACGACATCCATATAGTAACTTTCAGGGTAGTCTTACTTTTCTTCTAGTGGCAGTGTTGTTGACGAAATTGAGAGGATGCAAAGTGAATGGCCGGAGCTTAAACCGGGTTGGTGGTCACGGAGGATGCGCCTCGAAGAGATGGAAAGCCCTTATTCAAAATCAGTGTTAAACATGGGTTCCGGGATCCTTAGGGAACAAATGGAGTATAAACCTATTCTTGATCACCGGGTACCATGGAACTGTATTATCTAACGTTGCTCTACTACCATATTGATTATATCTGTAGTTAAAATTCTAGTGAAGTACTATAAATATTCGATCTCCATCTGCCCATTTAAAATCGTGTTTCACATGCGTTTATCAAAGGACCCTGTCGTATATTCGTCTGGTCGCACTGAGCGCTAGAGCTGAGGCACCACTGATTGATTGGATCTCCATTAACAGTCACTTATGTGTTCTTAGATTTAGAAGGTCCCAGCACAGTAATAACAAGTCGGTGTGAGGAAAGATGTCTTTTTGTTATTTCCACTTACGTCTCGACACATTGCAACCCGGATGCGATCAAGGATGAATCCTGCCACCAGTTAAGTGCTCTTCTACAGAAAGTGGGTTCAACAGATATTGTAGTACTAGCCGGAGACTTGAGTGTTCAGGTCGGGCGTCTAGGCACAGAGGAGAGTCGTTTAGGTGGCCGATCGGGACTTGTTAGTCGCAGATCAGATGACGATGACCATCTACTGCAACTTTTCGCAGATTACAACCGGTTCCTGGCTAGCACTAACTACCGGAATAATCATATCGGTGTTACCTAACGTCCTCCCTCTGGATCTCAAACCTGGACTCAGATTGGTCACATCGTGATCGGCTAACGCTGGTGTGGTTGTGTACAAGACTGCAGCTCCTTTTGGAGCACCTATCTGGACTCTGATCATGCCTTTGTTTGCGCTAACCTTACCTTACGTTTCAGTTAGCCAATAAACTTATCATCCTAAACGGATTGATGTCAGCAAATTGGCTGCAATTTCTGTTGTAGATAAATATCAAACCGAGCTAGGTTCAAAGAAAACCATCAACCCACCGGAAAGTATATATGAGCACTGCCTGGATTTGAATGACTACATGAAAGTGGTGAGCGAAGTAGCTTGCGGTCCCACACACACTCAGGGAGTTGCTCTAATGCTGTCCAAAGTAGCACGAAATGCACTTGTAGAATGGGAATCTCACGGATCCAGAATCATCAGAGCATCATTCAAAACACAAGAGGGGATCACAATGAATCTTATCCAATGTTATGCACCCACCAATGATAGCAACGACGACATTAAAGATCAATTCTACGAGCGGCCGCAATCAATCATAGAGAAGTGCCGAAGAAAGGACCTCACCATTCTGATGGAAGATTTAAACGTCAGAGTCGGAATAGACAACACCAGATATGAAGATATCATTAGACGGTATGGACTGGGAAAAAGAAACGAGGATAGCGACAGATTTGCAAATCTGTGCATCCAACAAAATGGCTACAGGCGGCACAATATTCCTATACAAACGTATACACAAAGCTACATGGGTATTACCGGACCACACTACACAAAACCAGATCAATCATATTTGCACCACTAAAAGATTCAGGTCAATAAAAGACGTGAGATGGAGGAGAGAATCTGACAGAGCTTCAGATCACCATCTACCTGCTGTGGACAAGATGAAATTGAAGCTAAAGAAACACTGGACAGCTGGGGAAACAGCAGTACACAGGTTCAATACATCCTTCCTACAACATACTGACAAACTCAACGAATTCAAGACAACTACTAACAACAGGTGACAAGCCTCACAGGATCTACTGAAAGAGGGAGCTACTATGAAGGGCAACTAGAAAGTGATCAATCAAGTACTACTTTCAAGATGTCAGGTGCTGGACGGCAACGAGCTACATCATAAGGAATGGATCTCTATCAAAACCCTGGACAAGATTCAAGAAAGGAAGAACAAGACAGCAATTGACAACAACCAAACAAGAGCAGGGGAATTTAAGGCACAGGCTGAATACACTGAAGCAGCCAAGCAGAAATATGTGGAAGACCTAACAAGGACAGTGGATAAAAATGCAAGAGAAGGAATTATTTATTTTATTTTAACACATAGATATTGGTACAAGGAGGCACCAAATACATATGCGCCACACAAATCTCATTCGATATGTGTGAGGGCTGTGATACTGCCCGGGTGCCCAAACCGAAGCAGGTGATTTTCTTAGGAGGCCACTCCCCGAGCCTTCGACCTGAAGGTCTGATCCACAAGGCAGTGGAACATCGTGAGGAGATGCAGTCCCATGGAAGCCAGTGACCAACAATTGGTTTATACGCCATCTGTTCCCGCAGGATACTGGGGCCCACGTGCACCATTGGTTTGGAATCTGGTTAAAGCGCCGGACATTCGCTTTTCGTCCTTTCAATTTCGTAAACAACAGTAGTGCAACGAGAAGCAGTGAGCAGGACTTCCCTGGCAAAGGCTATATACGCGTGGCCATGTGAGAGCATTTGGAGAGGGAGAGCGGACTCTCCCCACTCTCAACCGTACCAGGGCATTTGCGGGAAACATCAAACAACAAAACTAACAGGGAAGTATGGTAAACTAGAGAGACAGGTCAAGGACAAAGAAGGCAAGCCAAGTACTGCTATTCAAAAACAGAGGAACAGATCAGTAGGGCACTTTGAGGAACTCTTGAATGGACTAGCTCCACTGAATCCACCGGACGTCGAAAGCAGAACAAACAAACCTTTCGATAGATGTCACTCTACCAACGATCGAAGAAATCAGAATGGCCATCAAATAAATCAAGAGTGTGAAAGCAGCAGAACCTGACAATAAACCAACTGAAGAACTGTAGCCAGACACAGAAGCAACTGCAAACATGCTTCATACACCATTCAGGAAGATCTGGGAAGAAGAACAAGTCCCATCGACAGACTAGAGATAACGATACCTTATCAAGATATCAAAGAAAGAAGATCTGAGCAAGTGTGAGAACTACAGAAGCATCACACTGCTATCGGTACCAAGAAGAGTTCTTGACAAAGTGCTATCGGACCGGATGAAAGATTCAGTAGACGCTCAACTTCGAGATCAACAGACTGGATTCCGCAAGGATCGGTCGTGCACAGACCGAATCGCCACACCATGGATCATCTTTTTGCAATCAATTGAATGGAACTTGTCAATATACATCAACTTCATTAACTAAGAGAAAGCATTTGACAGTGTGGATAGGAGGACCTTATGGAACTTTTTTCGACAATGTGGAGTGAGTAGCTGAGATCGCCAACATCATCTGAAATTCATACGACGGACCACACTGCAAAGTGGTGGATGAAAGACAACTAACAGACGTATTCCAAGTAAGGACCGGATTCAGAAAAGGCTGCCTAAATCTCACCCTTTCTCTTTCTTCCGGTGGTTAACCGGATTATAAAAACCTCGACATCTGAGGAGAAGCACGGAATACAATGGACAGGTTGGATGCAACTAAACGATTTGGACTTCGCAGATCACTTACCTCTCCCATCCCATGCACACCAAGAAATGAAAGTCAAGACGGACAGTGTAGCAGAAGCCTCTACATCAGTGGGCCTCAATATACACAAGGAAAAAAGCAAAATCATCCAATACAACACAGAGAACACCAGTCCAATCACACTTGATGAAGAAACTCTGAAAGAGGTGGAAACTTTCACGTACCTACCCGGACAGTATCATCGATGAACAAGAATGATCTGATGCAGACGTAAAGTCAAGGATCGGCAAAGTGAGGGTAGCATTCCCACAGTTAAAGAACATATGGAACTCAAAACAACTGTCAACCGATATCAAAGTAAAAATCTGAATTCCTAACGTCAGGATAGTTCTACTGTACAGAGGTGAAACTTCAAGAACCACTAAGACTATCATCAAAGAAGCACAAGTATTTATAAACCATTGTCTAGGCAGAATACTCAATGTCCGTTGACCGGATACTATCAGCAACAGCCTACTATGGAAGCGAACAAACTGGCTTCCATCTGAAAAGGAAATTTTGCGCAAAAATCTTAAATATTGTCTATTTGATTTTGACTGACTTATTCATGTACTACAATTTTATCAAATAATAATTCATATAGTATGTAAAATGAATAAAGAACATCAAAATTAGTTACCTGGAATTATTATCATCATTAGTTTTAACTAAATTAGGTAATGTTGGATTTAATAATACTCGATAATCTACATCACCGGAAGCATCACAAACTGGTTGAAAAATAGGAAAACCAAATGGTGTTGGCTTACACATTGATTGAAATGTTTGAGACTGATGCATTGATGACTTGGAATCACATTCTTTACCAATTGTAGTAGAATTATTTGATTTAACAAGTAAATTGAAAATATTTGATGATTGATTATTGATTCGATTAGTTAAACTATCGGTGATTACTTTTGAGGATATATCAATCGGTGATTGATTATTAATGATGTCAGAAGAATATTCGATATCTTTTTTATTTAACAATTTTGTGTTATTATTGTTGATACTACCATCTTCTTTATCAACATCGATATCTTCATGGTATTCCAAGTCAACGCCAACACCATCATTATCATCGTCGTCATCGTGATGAGTAAATCCATCATTTAAATCTTCATAATATTCATCACCTGCATAACGTGATTCATTTAAACAGTTCTCTCTGTTGTATTTTGTTGACTGTTTATTATGATCAGGTTGACATGTGGTAGTAGTAGTTTTAGATGGTGATGATGATGATGAAGTATGATCCATATGAATTAAATCATGCAGTTGAGAAAGTGTCTTTGTAACACGTTTTCCGTACGTACCATAGGCCTAACCGAATAAAAGACACAAAAGGCGACGTGAAGTAATTTTAAAAAAAAACAGAACAGAACACAAACGCTGATGCATGTTTCATTTTATAGGTACAATCTTGTATCGAATATACCATTTATTCCAGGTAGTTTATCTATTTGCATATATATGTATGCAGTTATTAGTTAGCGTTAGCGTCACGAGGCAAGTCCTAACTTGGAATCCTGAAGGGAAACGGAAAAGAGGAAGGCCAAAGTACACATTACGTCGAGAAATGGAATCAGATATGAAGAGGATGAATAACAACTGGAAAGAGCTGGAAAGGATTTCCCAGGACAGGGTTGGATGGAGAACGCTAGTGAACTGCCTATGCTCCTTCATGAGGAGTAACAGGCGTAAGTACATTATCAATTATTTTCACTCTTGTTGTGAAAAAAACTTGCTGAAATATCTTGTGTTGAGAACTCTATATTGTATCAAAAGTATACTATTGAATAAAGCCATTTATAGTGATAATAATAATAATAATAATAATAATAGTAATAATAATAATTGTTAGTGTGTGGACCATACATCAAATCATCACATCTACTAAGTCAAAGTCATTTATAATATTGTCTAATTATCTGGATAAGAGATGAATTATTAAATTTGGTGAGTTAGTGCAATGGAGAGTCATATATATTTGGTGCCTCCTTGTACCAAAGTTTATGTGTTTAAATAAGTAAATTGACGTAGATAGAGAATCGTGATTTTCGAGCATAGGACAGTGCGAACTAATAACCTGTTCATCATCTCAGAATTAGTTGGTTCAATTAAAACAAAATAATAAAACTGATTGGGATTAGACATTAACATCGTTGGATTCCGACTCAGTGGTCTATAGGTTAAACATTCGCGTACGAGATCAAAGGTCCCAGTTTCGGGTCCTGCTTATGGGATCGTGGATGAGCACTGCTGAAGAGTTCCACACTAGGATCGAACAACCGTCTGGTGCTTTCAGGTTTCCAATGGTAATTTAACCTAGATGGATCCATGATTTCAATGTAATACAACTGTTTTAGATAAGTAATGCCATAGAACTTACATTCACAACGACAGCAACTTCTTTCAATTGTACATTATAATAAATTTCTGCACCTTCTAGTATACTTTGCAACGCATTCATGTGTTCCAAGCGTTCTTCATATTTCTTATATATAAATTCTAAATGTTTACAGCACTTATCAACCTAATTGTTTAAAAAAACGTTAATGAAAATAACAAGAGTATTAGTGAAATAACTACAAGAGGCTAAATGTTTACGACAGTAAATTATCACACTTTATTGGTTACAGATCAATTATTGGTATGCGTATCAAAGACATGTTACATTGTTTAATAATTTAATCATGACCGGTTGTTACTTCTAGATTTAAACACTATGTGCAAAGATACAAATTTCAGATCGTCATGATCGGTGTAAGATCTGACACAAACGTTTAATCATTTCAACTCACCACATCATATCAGTATAGCAAGACAGGAGATTAACCAAATCAATAACGAAGGAGTTAAAATAATGGCAGTATCAAGCTTGGCTTCTTAATAATTGCTCTTCACATACCTATCCATATTTACTTGCGACATCACAGTAACAGCGAGGAACACGATCTTCGTTGTTCATTCATTTTTGCTATTGGTATATTGCTATGTTTGAAGAGATTACAAGATCACCTAATTCGGCGAACGGAACGAAGAATCAGCGATACAACGACAAGACAAGCTTAACTATTCCAATGTGTCCCAGTCCCACTAACCCGAAGACCCGGTTCCGATAAAGGAAAGGTATATTCCACAAACAACCAGAAATATGAACAACAAGCACACAACTCAAGCACATAAAAACGTCCTTGGGAAATATCACAAAATAGCATATTAAAATAGGGGACGAATCAACGGCATTTAGGATCCTTTCAAATGGGAAATACAATCTGAAGGTAAAAATGAGCGCTTTTGGCGCAAAAATAAGAAATTTAAATTCCCAAAATAAAATTACAAAAATAAGACGTTTATCAAGTGATTTCTGGGGATCTATCATCCATAACATATACTCAGTAGGATAAATAATTCGTAATACTGTGCGTCAACGTGCCGTTAAGTAGTCCAAACTAGTTGCGTAGTAGTCGGTAAGCATATGACAACTAGGTGAATGTAATAGTAAGATGTATTTTATAGGATTATCGGTGTGAAATACAATAGTGAAATATTTGTAACGACCAACTATACTAAGGATCGGAGTCTTACTATCTTGAATTTAACTTTAGATAAGCAGTTTAAAAAGTGCAAAATGATGGTTTAGAAAATTCCCATTTTGGTTGATTCTAGTCAAAGTTTCGCGAAATAATGTATTTAGCAAAGATTTAAACAAACATCTTAAATAAGGCGTTTTTGCCCATTTAGTTCGTTATATAAAATGAACGGACATTTCACTAGACACTAAATTACTTTAAGAATAAATATGGTCAAATGAGAACGTTTAGGTGTTGATTCCCACATTCGACTAGATAAAACGAAATTATCCAGTGGATTATTCGAAATGTATTATTTGTACTCACTTGATGACCCATATAACAATTAGATGGACCAGTCTAAAACCTTCAACTGGCCTTAACTAGTATCCCTTTCTAACCAGGTGAGATGATATTCAGTGACGGACATGCTTAATTGTATGCTTGATGCAACTAGTTCCATAGAAGCCAAATTGGCCAGTGAATGTGGATGAGGTGGAATTAGGAAATGTATTCTTATTTTCCGTCATAACGATCAGTTGGTTGTGAAATAGGGCATATAACTTAGCTGAAGTGAACATTTATTGTAGCTTTCTCCACCCAATTTGTCATTAATTTAGTAAAACTGTCGTTTAATAACCGTAAATTCAAGAATACACGTTTATTAGGAACTGTGGTTATCTCTGATTTTATCCCAGCCCGGGGGTCATACGACTGATGTTAAATCTTAATGTTACTTTGAAGTATAGCTAATGCAAAGTGAAACTGCCAAGTAAACAAAACTGGTGTTGTATAATATTTTACAGATTAGTTCACGGTAATGTCAATCAAATTTACCGTCGACAGCATAAACCTATTACACAAGTCATATGGTTATTTACCAGATAAGAGCACGTCATGAAATTACACAAAACTTCAGACATACTATTTGATATGTATTGTCGCTACTTGTTATATCTGGTCGTCGCTGATTGTTGTGTCGGAAATGCTTATCACTTATACTCGGAATGAGGGACCTCTCCAATTCCCACGACACGACAGTAAGAACACAAAGACTGGTAAAAGTGAAAATTTATTGACCCCCAAAACACAACGATGACGACGACGATAAGATGTAAAAAGTAGCATTAAACGACAAGACATATCAGTGGCGACTGGGATGGGATTTCGGAAAAAATTGGAAAGACATATTACTATTATTTCAAAGTTGTTGTCATACTACTATGAACAAAGCTACAGTAGTAAAGCAGTATATACTAAAGAAAAACTAAGGAGAGATATTTTTTATTTATTTGAACACATAAATATGTATGCGCCACACAAAACAATGAGAATTCAAAGACAAGGAAAAAGAAAAAAGGTAAGGAACGTAGAAAAAAGAGAACAATAACGAAGAGATTGGTGTAAGGTGGTGTAATAATAATAATGGTAAAAATGGGGGAACGGAAAAGTACAATCAGAACGAATTCTTTCAGTTAAGGAAGAGACAACCACTTTTTATGAAGAAAGTAAAAGCTTACAGCAGGATCTCCACTGGCTTCTATTCTGAGCCATATACGATAACGTCTCTAGCCGCTGTGTAACACCATCTCTAGGACTCCAACCAGGGAGTCGTGAAGGACCAACACAAGCCAGTCTTTTGCAGCTTTCTTTCATGCCACGACACCATGTCATATACTGACCACCTCTCCGCTTTTTCTAACCAGTCCCAGAGTCGGCAAATAATTTACGACGTGGAATTTTCTAGGACGACATTCGTAGAACATGTCCAAGCCACCGAAGTCGGTTTCAAGATGGTGACACCAATAGCATTATCGTCTCTTTGCCCGAATACACGATGCCGAACCTCCGCATTACTAACATGGTGTTGCCACTAGATGTCAGCAATCCTTTGGAGAGAAAGATGATCAAACACAGAGAGTCGTTTAACATCCTCAACTCGGAGAGGCCAGGTTTCACAAGCATAGAGCAAAACTGCTCTCACCGACGCGTTGTAGATCCGACCTTTTACAGCCAGACTAACATCACGAAGGCGCCAAAGGTGGCCCAGATTGGCATAAGCCGTTCTGGCTTTCACTATACGTGCATTGATCTCATCACTCACACCCCCACCAGCACTTATGCAGCTACCCAGATACACGAACTTCTCGACTACTTCTATCTGCTCACCATCCAGGGTGAGTACAGGATTGGAATCCTGCCAGTCTTGTAGAAGTACTTTGCACTTCGAAGGTGCAAAGCACATACCATACCTAGGGACACTGATTGCCAACTGATTAAGTGTGGATTGCATGCCTTGGGCATTATCGCACAGTAAGACAATATCATCCGCATATTCAAGGTCGAGAAGTCTTTCTCCAGGCAACAGATCCACACCACCATTACTTACATTCATCAGAGCTGTTTCCAGAATGTCATCGATGGCAAAGTTGAAGAGGAATGGTGAGATTGGGCAACCCTGTCTAACCCCACTGCTCGAATGGAACAATGGAAAAAGGTGGGTGTATGCTCTCACTCTGCCTGAGGTGTTTGTATATAGGGCTTTTAGGATGTTAATAAACTTCTCAGGCACACCCTTCTTCAATAGACACAAATGATGAACTGTCTATATAAGGAGAGATAACCTGAGTTTTATACAAACTTCATGGGGGATGAGTGAAAAAAGGATGTACAGTAATACTAGTGGATCCCAACAGATTATATATATATATGAGTAACAAAAACAGCCATAGATAGTGATTTATGACCAGTAAAACTGGTTACTTTACAATTGAAAAATTAGGTTTTCAAGACAGGAGTATGAGGCATCTTTTCAATAATATTAATCTTCTGGAAAAACTTTTAGGAAGCAATAACAGGAAAATGGTTTGAAATGGAGTGAATTCGTTTCGCTTTGTTTGCTTTATACACCTTTAATATACACAGAAATCTTAGAAGGAAAGTTTCAGAAAGATGAATTTGTACTTAACATTCATAAGGTAATTCACTTTACTAGTAAAGAATAAATATAATTACTTTCCATTCAATTTATCTTGGACTTAAATTAGGCGTCAATCAAGTCCTATAACCAGGGTTTATATCCAAGTCTTTCAATTGATTCACTTTCAAAATGCGCCATGAAAGAATTTATAGTTGGCGAATACACTACTCTAACGAAAAAGTGATTAAGTGGTTAGGTTATTACATTTCCAGCAACTAAAATACAACTTGGACGTCCGACTAAAGGTTTGAACGATGGTAGGGAATGAATAAAACTGATTTTTTGTTATATTTTCCTAATGTATCTGTGTAATTATATTCTTAGACCTATCTACATACACAGAGATACGGGCGCTCGCGTTCATATAAGCATCAAGATTGTGGTGGATTGTTGTTTAGTGAAAAAATAAATTGTAATAAACTTACTTGACCTGTTAATGATCGACTTTCTTCTTTACTTTTTAGTGAACTAACAGTTGATGAGATTGGTGTACCGTAACCAAGTGGGTTAATATCAAATTTTCCGTGTGATTCACAAATTTCATCTAGTTGTTTTATCTTGCGTAACGTATCAAGAAGCTTCTCAGGCTATTCAAGACAAAACATTAGAAGTAATTTGAAATCTATTAAAAGTTGAGTGGTTGCAAAGAATATTATCTTGGAATTATGATATCGATGAACTATAATACAGGAAAAACTCAAATAGTAACGCTGGTTGACAAGGACCCAAATACTACAGAGAGTATTAGTTGCCCTAGGTTTTTAAACACACCATTCTACCAGTCACCAACTAGCATAGTCCAATGTTTCCTGATAATCACCTTCAGCTATATGACATCGAAACATTCTATGAGATATCAGGTAACCTGCATGATAGGTATAATGCAAATTGGTTGGTAGAATTTGAATAGCATTATGAGTCAGATAAATGTGACATTGAATACTATTACGAGACTAATTAGTGCAACGAAACATGATTGTCCAGGTATGGAAGTTAATGATACAGATTGGTTTGTCAAACTGAAGTAGGCTGAAGATACTTTAATTCTATCGAACAAACTGAAAATACTACATGTAGCTTAAAAAGTATGCACCTAATCAAACTATCAACCATATCTAACTTATTGTTACTATAGTGTAACTTGATCAATAGAATTTAACTATCCTCATGGACTGGAAAAACATGACACCAGTTTACTAATTGGTGATCGAATTCCCTAGATTAAGTTCATAAAGGGGTTCAAGAGTTTGATCTACAAAGTGGTTATAAACACGGATGAAATAAATATTTTGTAAATCCCTAATAGCCATCAACTATTTTCCTTAGATGGTTAACTTATGATATGGTCTAAAAAAGAGCAAGCGTATTTTAAAGTGGTTAACTTAATTACTTACATTAAAGTTTTTAACTATACTATCTGCATTACTATTATAATGTGATGTTGGAGTTATATTTTTCTTATCAACTTGTTCTGTAGCATCTAAAAAAGGAAAAAAATATTAATATACATGAAGGAAATGGCTTACTTAGTTTCTGTAAAAGCTGTTCAGTAAACTTGGTATCGAAGACTTTACGATAGGTCCAGTAATTAATCAACTTTGTAAGCTTAGATATAAATGGCCCAGGTCTGTATATATGTGCTTAATTTTAAGAGACAACAAAACTAACTTTAAAAATTGTGCTGCTTGTGTTACGACAGGTTTTAGTGCTTCACCGAATTCAGAGACGCCATATTTAGAACTTTTAGTAAGAATTTCATTTGCCACATAAAGTAGAGCTAATTGGAAACTTGGATTGTTCGCTAGCACGAAAAAAAGAAAGATGATGAACAGAATGTATTTTATCACCCAAAATAATTACATTACAACGCAATATACATGATAAGCTGATTGAAAACAACCGATAATGATATCAATACTCAATGTTATTTTCATTTGGAATTTCATCGTGTTTGTACCCTGTTGTGTTAAAGCGAATTAAGGAGCTGGAATCGATTTTCAATTACACTAGGTCCTACGTTGTCCGCGAACGAGACCGACTGGCTAGTCAGCGTTGCGTAACGAGCACGTGAACAACTCGATTATAGTCTCATAGTTTCCATGAGTTGTAATTGTCTAATCAATGGAAGTTATTATTACTTGGAGTCTATATTCAGATTAAAATAATCACACTATCCTATGATAACAATGTTTATAGGAGTCCTAACTAGGCATTTTTATGGGGTCCAGACGATCAAAGTACAATTAGTTATTAGATGTGAACGTGATGTAATTTGGTCGTTTTCTATTTCATCCCTTCCCTGTAACTACTCTGCATGTTAGCTATCTTCTCGTTTCTGTTCAGTCCGGGGCTTAAGCCAATAATTTGGTCTCGTAAAGGGGTATCAGTTGACTAAACATATATAAAAATTCCACTCTATCTATTAAAAATATTGTATTTACTTATTCTAACAGTCCAAAAACTCAATGATCAAATCCTAATTCACTGAACAATAATGGATCTAAGTCCAGCCTTACAGACTACCACTGAGTAACCGAATAGTACGAAGACGACCATTGACTACAGATGAGTCAGTCTACCATGAAAACATTGAAGTGTTTACTGAGTGCCAAAGCCATACTTTGTTTTGATAAGTAGAAGTTTGTGGAGGAAAAGTAGCTATAGAAGCTACAATACTGCTTAAGGCAAGCAGATATAAAGCTAGAAGACTAACAAGGATTCCAAGTCAGGGCTTGTCTTGTGATGCAGTTTGATGGTTAGTGTAAAGTATAACCTACTCATTTACAACGTCTTTCTGAGCGAAAAGGCTAGTTTTTCGTTAATCTGCTGTGAATTTTTAAAGTAGGAATTTCGCATTTGTTTGTAAGTAACGGACAGAACGATAGTCAGAAACGGAATAACGTATATGGACTTCAGGAAATTAACAAAACTAAACAATGAAGCTACTTATAGGATTCAGAAGAAGACAAAAAAAGAATCTACCTGGAGCATTGTGACCGGTTTTGAGTCATGTTCTCTAAGATCCGCGACCGCAGATTACGACTATTTCTCAGAAGAAAAACAGAAAACAGCGATCTCCTGTCACGACTACAAATCTACGTTAAGGATTGGTCTGGTCGTTTCTTGCATTGAATACGTATTTTCTGTCTAACGTTAGCTAACATGCAGGTGCTAAGACCAGTACCACATGTGATGGAAGTTTATAATGTGCGCAAAACAGAGTGGAACGAGGTCGATAAACCACAAATCAGTTATGAGTAGTGGAGAAGGCATAAAAGATAACTACTAGTAGTTGAAATTGCACCTTTTCACATTCTCTATAGTGATTTTCTGAGCAGGGCATTTCATCAGTATGACAGTGGCAGTGTCTGTCATTGAAAGGCGTACCTCAGAAGTACATAAACCTTGTGAAGGCTCTTTACTCGAACACTACTAGTCGAATGAGAGCTTATGGCTAACTGTCATTTGATTTTGCAGCCTCAAGTGGTGTCCCTCAAGACTGTCCACTTTCTCCATTTTTGTTTAATTTTATTATAGACCAACTGATGGAAATAACGCTCTCGTCGAATGAACTCTCAAACATTGATTTCTTACTGTGAGACTCACTTGTGGATATAGAATAAGCAAACGACATAGTCCTCTTTGGTGAAGAGGATGATAAAATGCAGAGTCTTTTGATAGCATTGAGCGAAATTGTCAGAATGTTTTGAATGCGCTTTTCCCCATCTAAATGAAAGTCGTTGCTCCAGGACTGGTATGAGTCAACACTTGAACTACGACAGGGAGTGAAGTAGTCGAATATGTCGACAACACTTATCTTGGAAGTCTGACCAGACCTCATGGGTTGGTGTCTGATGAAATATCTGCACGGATTCGAAAAGCTCGTTTAGCTTTCGCCAACTTACGTCACCTTTGGCGAAGGCGAGATATCTGTCTATCAATAAAGGGACGGGTATACTATGCGGCAATTCGCTCTGTTCTACTTTACGGCTGCGAAACATGACCACTAAGAGTAGAAAATACTCGTAAGCTACTAGTATTTGATCACAGATGTTTTAGAAACACTACTCACATCTGCTGGGATCACCGGCTAAGTAATAGTGAGGCCAGACACAGGGTATTAGGGAATGATGGTAAATCAGTTGATGATTGTGAATCTTCATCGACTGAGATGGTTGGACCGTGTGAAATATGTCTGAACACCGATTACCATGACGCACAATGCTGACTAGTGTTGGGAATGACTGGAAGAAAGTAAGGTGCGGCCAAATTAAAACATGGCATCAGTGTTTGAAAACACTAACTTCTGGTCTGAGCTATGTTGGTAGATGCAGACTAATTGGTTGTGGTCTGCGTGACTATCGTAACCAATGTTTGGAGACTGTGGATGACATGTCTCAGAATCGATCACAATGACGTCGGTATATACACTCTCTGTCTTACCTAAAACCATGGGATTAAAATTACATTGTATCTTCCCTACGAATTGATTCTTTCTTCCTGTATTATATCTTTATACAAAATCCTTCTTCTATATCTTGCCACAACTGAACTACTTCTATGAATTCGGTGTTCATCTTGTTATGCCAATGAGGTATGGCAACTTGGATCGATGCATATAAGTGCCTGGACGTTGTAGCTGACTGACGCAGTACGAAAACTATAGCACAGTAATTCTCGACAGATTAGGTCGTGTGAGTTGTAACATTGAGTACTTTCTATGGTGTATGTCAGGGTCAAGTCACCTTTTGACTATACAACTGAAGCCAAATTTGTATACTAGTTAATTAGCGATTCTCGTAAACGAAGAGAAACAATTCACATGTAAAATGAATTAAACATTATGACACACTAAAAAACCCGAAAAAAACCAGCGACACGGAAACGTTGTACAATTAAGTGGAAAATACGTCATAACGATTGAAATAAGAATAATTTGTACTTAATGTACTAAAATGAAAATGTAGGACATACAATTTTTAAATATTTCCAACCACTGGCTTGAGATGAAGTCTGAATGCTCTGCCTGGATTAGCAGAAACGATGCCACATCTTTTACGTGTTTAGATGACAAAGAAACCTCGGTCAGTTTGTGGCGTATTTGATCTCTAAGTAAGGAATTAGCGTCCATCTGGATGCATCCGACAGTTTTTGAAAATCCCGGAGTTATCAATTACCTTGATTAGATCCAGATGTTCAATCTCTTGAAATAAAATTGAGGTTGTCGTACGTAGCCTTGAAAGTTTGTTTTCATCATATATCATTCATTATAGAAATTTATTTTGGAGATAATTTTGGAGATCTGATCCTATTTTCAACCGTGTACATTGAACCGATCGATGAACACGAGCGCTTTTCGAAAAAAGTGTATCATTAGCAACACGGTGGGATAGTGTTGTGACGTTAAGTTGTGGTTGATTTCTACCCTGTGCTAATTGTTGTGTCCTTGACTGAAAAACTACAGAACAGCGTATTTATCGACCGATTCAATGACACGTAAACACGTACGAACGTAATGGACGACCTAGAGTTACGATTGGCCCCGATTCCCTGTCTATCCCAGCCAGTTGAGTCCAAAACACAAATCCCAGCCTCTGAGTTATGAATCATTGTATTTCAGACATACTCTATTTATATACTAACCAAACATACCACATGGTACCATAAAAATAGAAAACAACATTTTGTACAATATTCAACAAGCGGACAGATATTGACCAGTAGGAAATGTCCATTTAAAGTCCAAGGACACCATTGGACTTAACAAGATAATTATTGGTCTATCCTTCCGCATCCACAACTGATAGAAATCACTTTTGGTTCAAAGTTATTGATTAGATGATTGGTTGAAGCAATATCTTCACGGGCAGTTGCAGATTGCTGGAATCTAATTGACACGTGAATGAGTACGTATACTAAAGGGTGACTTTAACTGCATTTAAAGCTAACTGTTCGGCTCGATGACTACCAGTGGAATTCAGATCTTTCATTGCCTGGTCTTCGCGACTTAAACCATTCTCTGGTAATTTCCACAACGAACTCAGGTCATCCGATCTGCGTCAAGGCACACTAAGGTGGTTCGACTTTTCGTACCTACCCTCTCTACTAACTTTCAGGTTGTCTGGCCGAAGTTGGAAACAGGGGTTTGAAGCTTAAATGTGGTCCACAAGTATAGATTGTCTTGTGTTTAGTGTAGTGAACATTAGGGATCTGTAAACCTCAGCTGCGAGCATGCTGCATTGGGCGCTGGTCTTAACCAGGTCCAATATTACTACTTTGGATAATCACGAGACCGGATCAAGACCACAGATACTTTTTCGACCACAAAGTTGTTTGCCTTTTGGTGTCGAATGTGCATGTTATCACACCTGGCCGCATTGATCAGGGCTTGTTGTGATTCAAACGAGCTTAGCGGAAGGTATGAGTCGACCTTGAGTGCAAAGGGACCTTCATTCTCCGTTAATGTCATCAGAATAAACTGACACTGTGAGCTTAATCGTAAACGGGAATCCATATACATACGGAGATGGCTTCAGTTGGTCCTTCACGGTTGGGGTTTTTGATATGGTATAACGCGTGGCTAGAAATGTTATCAGATATGGCTTACAATAGAAGCCAGTGGCGATCCCGTAGTAACTTCCCCTTACTTTCTTCATAAAAATGGATGTAATTTCTTTAACCGGAAGAATTCTTTCTGGCTGTGCCTTTGCTAACTGAACTACCCTTCTCATTATTATTTCACTATCATACACTGATTTCTGCTGGTAATTGTCACCCTTTTTCTTATACGCACCCTAAATTCTCTATCTCTTTACGTTCTCATTGTTATTGTGTAGCGTATATGTATTTGGTGCCCCTTTGTACTAATATTTATGTGTTCAAATAAAACTACACATAATGTATAAAATGTTATACACCTAGAACACAGCCTTTAGACACTCAACTAAGTACTGGTTCGCATGATGAACATTTGAAAATTGAACCTGCTTTCAGTCTATGATCAGTCGGAATGATTTCAATCTGTCAAGGGTTCCCAAAAATATTTCTCTTGAAGCCAAATATAAAAATCTGAGATTTTAGTGCTGTTAGTTATGGCTCACTTTAACTGTATAGGAAAGACTAGTCGTTGCAATAGGTCATTTTTCAGATCGTTGTACAGAACAGTTGGAGAGTGCGTCTCTAATTTTTTATAAACAAAGATTTTATCTTATAATATGGAATAATCAGATATATAATGCTTGCACAAAATATGGAAGTAAATAAATACTGACATCATAATGCTTCGAAATTGCGAAGATATTTTTGGCCAACTCTTTGCAATCAAACTAAAAATATTACATCAACTTCTTTAGCCTTTGATATGACTCAAATTTAGATGAACGTATGAATATGCTATAAACATGTAATTAAATCCGTATATTACCTAGGCTTACCCCGTTTGTGTGAAAGCGGTAATAAAAATCTAAATACGAGTGGCGTTGAATGAATTTATCTCAAACACTCGTGTACGCAGGCAGACAATCAGAACAAGAAGCGACGCCGAGAGGAGGAGGCGGATGAACTAACTTGATTGGATAAAGTATGACTCAACACTTATAGCCACGCAAAAATAAACCACATACATGCGATGAGTATGGTAAGCGTTGTACACACAAATGCTGATGTAAAGACAGACAATCAAATAATTGACAAGGTCAAAATGTGACTCAAAAAGGATGAACAAGCTGGTCTATCAAGAAGCTAAAACAGCCCATATGGGATTGATATGGTACTAGACACCAATAGAATGTCGATCCAATTATTTTATTACACAGAAACACTTCTGTCCAGTTTCAGCAGCCAAATGGGAATTTCTAACTCGTTCAGTGTTTCACCTCCTTGTTCTTATAATCAGTGGCAACTCCTGCCCGGTCAGTATTCAGAGATAAAATATAGCTTGTTGTTCTGGCGGCGTTTACCCTTTTCCCACAAATTATCGTTTACTACTTGTTGAACATGCTCTCTACATGAGGTATTAAGGGAATGGAGGGTGATAAAATGAAACAATAAAATCTGAGGAATTGCCACGGGAAGTCTACTTGATACCATGTTGGTGAGGTAAGATTTTCTCATGTTCTGTCTGGCTATCAGGTGTTATCATACCTACTTTTTTCGTCATCTCAAGGTCGAAAGTGAAGAAGAACCCATATTTTTTTGAAATAAATAAATGAAGCCACTCAAGCATGAAGAACTGCTCCGCTGTTCGTATAAAATAAAGGGATACAAAACGAAAGTTGAAATTACAAAAATAAACGTTTGATCTAGCAGAAAATACTGGTAATCTAGTAGCAAATAGATACTATATCGACGTCTTGGGCACGAATGCGCATTGAGACGGAACGTTATAAAAGTTGTATTTGTCGCTTAACTCGACTAATTACATGACCTTTGGTCTGTAATGACCGCCTTTTATGATGAGATCCACAAATGGAGATACAGAAATGGTTCACTAGATTTGTCTAAAGAATTCGACATTATTTTGAGATTTCAGTGCCTGCGTTGCGTATTAAATGTTCACAGGTAATTTGCTTGATGGTTTAATCGTTTTTCTCTGTCTTCTTCTGGCGAAGAAATCCAGAAGACAGGTTACTTCCACTGGCCTTGTCTGCACACACCACTCACATCAGTCGAAGATCCTTCTTTCCTTTGAGACCTAACGCTGTTGTTGTGAAGTTTCCGATTCATGGTTATTGTTCAAGTGTGGATCGCTCATGTACTTATTATAAAAACAAATATAACACTTATGCATCAAAAGTTAAAGACACGAGGGTGATTTGGCAGGGTGTCAATTAAGGCTACCACTATTTCGGTGCTACTCTTGTCATCTTTAAAGTTTTTCTAAGATGACTTACATTGAATACTGAACATTTGTATAAGGTTGACACGAAAGAACCTAATGGAAACAGCACAATCTGGTCTTTACAGTGGACATATTATTCAATGTCTAACCCAAATGTATCCTTTACAGGTTCATACTATCAACCTGTGACTGCCAAATGGGACGACCAGTATTACTAGTGTTGTGAGTTCGTAATGACTTCTAGATTAGGTGGTCATATCGCGGTAATTCTACAACTTTGGATTAGTTTTATTATTACTACATTGGTGACACTGACTTCAGAAGACGTTTATCACTCCTTATATTCTCCATATTCGAACGGAATTTGGTAAGTGGTACTTAATCAAATACATTCTTAAAGTCAATTTAAGCGACACATACTGACCTTTCGCTTTCAAGCGAACTTGCATGTCTTTCACATGCCATAAAGATGTTAGTCGTCCAAGATAATCCTTTCGTGAAACCAACTTGTTCACTTATTAACAAGTTGTTGAGTTCCGAAAATATAATGATAGCTTTTTGTAAATATTTTTCCAGTAGAGTGGCCTGTGTCCTATATTTGAATGGATGCTGTCTGAATCTTGCATTATGAAGCCATAATTATGTCCCTTTCAATTCTCAGGTAACTCATCAAGTGAAATCCCCATTATGATCTTCAGAGGTTAGTGAATATATCATTTTGTATCAGGTTTTTAAGGTGTAGCTAATCCGATACTACTCATTTTCCCATAACTAAAGAAATGTACGTTGAGTTAAGCGTCTTAATTGATATTCACTGTGAGTAGTCGATTTAATGATAAGGGTTTCGAGTGTAGTCCCTCATCACGAACAATTGTGTAAATTTAGAAGGGAATCAGAATACACTCAATACTGATTAAAACTTGTTTTGTGGGTATCTTGTCAGTGTCCTTCTGATCGAAATCTTTTGGCCATAACAGAACATAAATTTATCTTTTGTATAAAACGTATCTCACGACACTAGTTTTATCGGTGTGTGACAACTTAGTTTGAATGGTTAATACTTGGCCAACAACGCCCGCGTAATATCGAAGCATTATAGCACAAGTATTCACTCACTTCCTGATTTTGTATAAGGGTTGTATTACCTTTAATTGAAAAACGTGGTAAAAAGTTTAGCTATTCAGCTTCTCGAAGTGAATATCGTTTGCATGATGTGCAAAAATATGGGTTGATTGTCAGTCAAGAGAGCGAATTCGCGACGCTATAACAGGAAGTTGAATTATATTACATTATTGGAATGGTATCATATAAGTATGAAAAAATCACATCATATATGTTT